AAGTCCTTGTTTATAATTGTTGAGTCTCGCCAGCAGGCCCTCAGATTATGGTACGACAGGACTGACAATAATCCAAATGCTTCTTAATCCAGCTATTTTCTTAACCATCTTCAGAGAGTTAGAAGATCCATGGTTGCATCAAGAGGCTAAGGAACTTTCTGGGGCCAGTTAAACCTTCAGATCTTGACCATTGGCTAAAATGAAGTTTGGCAAGTGGCCATTAACTAGCACATGCATTTTTAAAATGTTATTTTCTTTATTGATTTGAGAGAGAGAGGAAGGGAGAGGGAGAGAGAGAGAAATTTGATGAGAGAGAACATCGATTGCCACCTCCTGCATGCCCCCTACTGGGGATCAGGCCCACAACCTGGGCATGTGCCCTGACCAGGAATCGAACAGGCGACCTCTTGGTGCATGGGTCCACGTTCAACCACTGAGCCACACTGCCGGGCCTAACACATGCATTTTAGTCCTTGACTATTTTGTATACATATGTCATATATAAATAACATATAAATTAGGTTTATATTTATATATTATATATTTATAATTATAAATAAGACTCTATATAATTCTATATTATATAATGTTATATCTAATATAGAATTTTATTTCTTTCTTTATATATTTTTAAATCAGGTCTTAGTTTGTATCTAAGAGATTTAAAAGTATAGGCTCTAACCTAGATGCCAGAGTTTGAACTCTTTCTTTTCCTGCTTACTAAGCAATTGCTTCCCAGGCTGCTTTTCATCTAATATCATTTTACTCGCTGAGGTGCAGAGTGCAGATATTTACTGAATTTCTACCTGTTAGACAAAGAAGACTGCACACACAAGCAGGCTGCTTCATTTTTTTCTTTTTAATCCTCACTCGAGGACGTTTTTGCATTTATCTTCGGATAGAGCAGGAGGGAGAGGGTGGGGGAAGAGAGAGAGAGAAACATTGATGTGAGAGAGACACATCGACCGGTTGCCACCCACACAACCCCAACCGGGGCCAGGGACAAACTGCAACCGAGGTCTGTGCCCTTAGTGGGAACCGAACCCAGGACTCTCTGGTCCGCGGGCTGATGCTCTAACCACTGAGCCAGACCGGCCAGGGCATGAGCAGGCTGTTTCAAGTGACTCCAAATGGGAGGGAACACACAAGGTGAGGCTCCATCACTCGTCCACTAGGAGGACTGCGCCTCCCCGTGGGGGCAGTGCCTGGGGAGAAACCACTGCCCTCCCCTGCGGGAGCTAAGAGCTCAGAGTCGACTTGTTCCTAATTGTAATTCTCCAAGAAAGCTTAGAGCAGCATTAGGAGAAAAGAGTGAGCTTAAACTATTGTGTGTAAATTAAAACATTTCAAAGTCTGAGGGCTACCATCTGTGTTTATTAATAGACAGAGAATTATTTGGCCTCAGCATGACAGAAATTTTTCAGTCAGTTGAGAGAGAGACTCTCCCAAGGAGTTCTGACCCACACCCTAAATCTTATGTAGAAATATGCTGGTAGCTGGGGAACCTTCAGAGGGAGATGGAAACAGATGTTAGCTTCTTCTCTGTCCTCATTCACTGTTTGCATCCCTAAAGAAGGGATGGCTTTTCCTGACTGAGTCGAAACTGCCCCTGGGAGCAGCTGGCCTTTCTTTTTTCTTTTCTTTTCTTTTTTTTTTTTGTGGTACATGCCCCTAGCGGGAACCGAACCCAGCTCTCTGGTCCGGGGGCCAACGCTCTAACCACTGAGCCAAACCAGCCAGGGCGGCCTTTCTGTCTTGAACTGCCTTCACGTGTGGGCCATAGTGTTCTGAGCATGGACGATGCAGCGGAAGTGTCACGTTTCCAGGCTCTGCACACTGCAAACCCACTGGATGCTGAAGAGCAGGATCAAGGCATTATTACAGTGCAGGATGGTCTGAAGGGAAGGGAATGTGGTATGGTGGATTAGAGATAAAAGCCATTATTTCTAGTCCAAGGATTGGGGCAGAAGTTAAAAACAAAGCAAGCAAACAAACAAAACCTCTTTGCTTAACAGAGTCCCATAACTGACTATTGGGAGAAATCACTTTGCTTCTCTTTCTACAGTCCAGGAGTAGGGCTAAACTATGTCCTGCTTGGTGAGATTGTACTAAGGACAGCCAGCCCTATTTAGTTCTTGCTGCCTACCAGGCATCACCTGAATACCTCGTTTAATCTTCAAAATAATCCCCAACCACGAAGTAATTATTATTGTTGCTCCTATCATCCTAGACCTAGAGAGAAGTAGAGGCACAGGGAGGTAAAGTAAATTGCCCAAGGACACAGGTGAAAGGCGTAGGCAAGGCCAGCCAAAAATTTGCAGGGCCCAGTGTAAAATGAAAATGTGGGGTCCTGGCCCATGGCAGAGAAGCAATTCCCTTTCCACAGGGTAGCGGTGATCCCCAAGGGATTGGCGCCTTTGTGCCTGGCCACCCTAGGTATCGGAATGGGGGTGGATGAGAGGTTCCAGCCAGTTACCATGGTGCCACCAGCCTAGGGCAAGGATGGTTGCTTATCTCCTCCAGAGACACAGGAATGAGTTGGGGGGCTGTACCTAATCCTGATCATCTAGTTGCTGCCCAGGCACTCACGGGGACAAAGGGTGGGTGGTGATGGCAGAACTCGAGATTCCTCCCTCACCCCTCCTGGGCAATGAGGCCCGGTTGCTGCCCTCACAGAGATTAGCAGCAGTCCCAGGTTTGGTCAGGGAGGGCCAAGGTGCCAGGATGTAGCGGGCACCCTCGAGGAGGTAAGGAAAGGACAGAAAGTGGCACTTTGCAGGAACTGAGGCTCCAACCCCAGGCTTGCTCCATTGTCCCATCACACTTCCCTCAAAAACCATGAATTCAGAGATAAAATGATTCAGAATTTCAAGGTTGCAACCACAGAGCATTAAACCCCAAGCCCTAGTGTATGACTGCACTAATTGCATGTCCAAGAAGCCAGCTCTGGCCATAAGTACCCATACTAACATACTGACTATTGTGGAAGATGACGGAAACTGACAGTTCTTTGAAAAGTTAGAAAGTAAAAATTTTCTCAGTAAGGAAATAAAAATTTGCTGAGTGTCACCCTGGCTGGGTGGCTCAGTTGACTGGAGCATTGTCTCCATACACCAAAAGGTTGTGGGTTCGATTCCTGATCAGGGCACATACCTGGGTTGTGGGTTCCCCTGTTGGGGCTGCTATTTCACTGTGAAAGGTAGAAACTGTTGTGAAATATAAAGTGGTATGATTAATCCTGACAAATAACTTCATTCTTCAACACCTCCTTAAGGAGTGTCTTTCTTTATGAAGCTTGACTTGGACTTCCCAAATAGAACTGACACTGTTTCATTGTGCTCCTTCCTAATTTGAATAATTATAATGTTAAGAACACGGGCTTTGGAATCCAACAAACCTGGGTTGGAATCCTAGCCCCATCAGTAACTAGTTGTCAGACCTAGGCAAATTAACATGTTTTCTCACCTGAAAATGGGGATAATGCAGCTCAGTGGTGGCTACAGCTCTGGAAACTGGATAGGCTTAATAACAGCAATGTAGTTGGAAATGAGGTTAAGACATATAGGGGTAACATGGCACTCCATCTTGACCAAAAGAACTCCATTTTAGAGGCCTGACGATGACAACTTGCTTTCAATAAAATTCTGTAGTTAAAATGATCTAACCACCTCTTTAAAGGAAAGATCTGCTGGATGATAATCTAGGGATAACTGACCTCATTCTCATTCCGAGCCCTGCACCTACCCCATGGCCTCTATATAAGCCATCCACAAGAACCCCTTGGGGAGCTTGGAGAAGGGAGGGGAAAAAAGGGAGGGGAGATTGATTTGTTTTTAATTTATTTATGCATTCATCAGTTGATTCTTGTATGTACCCTGACAGAGGACTGAACCTGCAACCTTGGCCTAGGGGAAGACACTCTAAGCAGTTGAGCTACCTGGCCAGGGCCACAAGCTCTTTTCAATAAACTCTATCTGCTTGATTCTGTACTAAGTTCAGGGCTCATTTCTATGACACTGAGACTCAAGACCTGGCATTCAAGGTCCAGTGACAAGGCTACAGGACTTGTCCTAAAACTATGTTTGCAAAGTAAGTACATTCATTATCACTTAGATTTTATGTTTATTTGGAGTTGCTTGGGGGGGAACAGGGTGGGGGACACTCATGGTAATGAAGAGGGTAAGACACAGAAAAAATTAACTGCAAATATTTATTAGCGTTTTCCACTAGACTGAATTTCTTGAAAGCTGTGTCCTGTATTATTCATCTGTGTCTAATAATGCTTGACGCCAAATGTGTTATTTAAATGAATTTTCTTTGCAATCTTCATTAAAATTGAGGGTTTTATTGGTAACTTAAGAGAGTAGATAAGTCTCTAAAGGGATTTTGATATTGTCAGAAACAAACAAAAAAATTTGGAAAATGAGATCCACAAGGCCCTTTATAATCAAACATCAAACCCATTCTTAAGTGCCTGTTAATTCTTGGTTTATTTTTTTCTGCATTTAAACCTAAAATCATTAACGTGGATTTGGAGACCGTACGGGGAGATCAGATATACCACACTTAGGGGAAGTTTTATTCCAAAACAAGCAACGAAAACAATTGCTGTGAACCACTGCTCCTAACTCACTGACCGCAGGATCATTGGACGACGGCGACATTTTTGCAATCCAATCGCCGAGGAGTCCGGAGAGAACGTTCTCTGGATTGGTCAGAGGAAACATCTCTCCAGGTGCCTTCAAGAAGGAGCATGGCATAGGGCTCGCCCGCAGAGACTCTCGCCAATCAGAGAACGCAGGGAGGCGGGCTTTGCCGCAGGAGGGTGAAACAGAGCCTATCTCAGACAGCGAATCTCGGCCAGTCAGACTCGCCTGCCGCGAGTGAAGGGGGCGTGGCCTTTGGTCACGGCCTCCCATTCGCGGAGAGTGGGCGGGGCCCAGGGCCTGGGCGGGGCGAGCGGTGTCAGCGGTAGAGCCGGATGCGGGCGGTGCCGCGGTCGTCGCGGCCCTGGGGATGGGCGGAGCCCCAGCCGCCTGAGCTGGTGGCCGCCGCCGCTGCGGGAGCCGGAGCAGCCACCTCTATTCCCGCGCGTTGCTGCTTCTCAGGGCGGTGGTATGCTGGGGAAAGGGGTAGTCGGCGGTGGCGGAGGCACCAAGGCGCCGAAACCCTCCTTCGTGTCGTATGTGCGCCCCGAGGTGAGGGGGCGCCGTGCGGGCGGGGCGTCGGGCTCGAGCGGCGGGGGCGAAGGGCGCCAGGAGCCCCTTGCCCGCTGCGGAGAGGGAGGCGGGCGTGTGCAGGAGGGGAACCGGGCGGGGTGACGCCCGCAGGGGCGCGCTGGGGCCTCCGGTGGGCTGGGGTGGGGACCCCCGGCGCGAGCACAGGTGCCCGAGCGCAGGGCCCGGCTTGCTGTCGACCGGGTGAAAGGGCCTGAGCCTGGAAGGTGCTGCGCTCCGGGACGCCCCCGGGTGCACTGTAGAGGAGCTGGGGCTCCGGGCACCGAGGGAGGGGAGGGCGGGGTGGTCCAGATCCCTGTGGGGCCGCCCCGAGCCCGCCGCCCTGCTGGGGCTGCCCTGCCCTTGGAATTCTTCATGAGTCTTCGGAGCTCGCCCATCGCAGCCGCCTGCTTCTGAGGGGGCTGCTGCCCCGGCGGGAGACCGTGCACCGCCTCTCGCCTCCCGTTAGCACTGCAGGGAGACGCTCGGTCGGCCCCGGCCTCGGCCAGACTTGACCTCTCCCTTGTGAATTTCCCCTTGTCGCCCCCCTTTCCTTTCACCCACGACCGTCACCCCTTTCACCCCCTCATGCTTTCCTCCTGGAGTTTTACTGTCAAGTTCATTCATTCATTCAGAAAATATATTTTGAGCTCCTACTCTGTGCCAGGCACTGTTCTGAATGTTTGGGATACACATCAGTGAACAAAACAAGTATCTCTGCTCTCCTGGAGCTTATGTGAGAGGGAGGAGTAAACAATAGGTACAGTAGATGTAAGTAAAGTATATGGTGTATTAGAAGCTGCTAAGTATCATGGGAAGACGTGTCACCTTTTTTCTTCTTGCAACGATGGCATTTGAGCAAAGACGTGAAGGATGCTTGGGGTCTGAGGGTACAGTGGTGCTGGTAGAGGAAAAGAGTCTGGGGTGTTGGAGCAGCATCAAGTGGACCCCCAGTGGCTGAGGGGCGCAGTCATAGGAGCGGAGGTTGGAGAGGTTACAGCTTGTAGGCCGTGCTGCGGGTTTCTTGAGCAATAGTTCCCAGTCCAAGTGCCTAATTAGACACATTCTCATTTTGGATTCCTGAAATTGTTTTCTGCTCCTCTCTTCAGCACTTTAATCAGCAACATACAGAAGCACCAGCAAACTCAGCCGTCTTCCTGTTTCTGTAAAGAAAAGGCAGGTGGGCTGTGGATGAGGAGTTTTGATCCGGAAAGCGTCTGTAAGACCACCTGGGGCCTTAAGCCTTTGCATATGTATCTTCAAATTCAAAATATGTGTTTTCTCCAGTGGAAAGGACTCTTGAAATGTGTGTCTTATTGTTAGTCCTAATTTTAAAATTAAATGAAAACCACTTCCTCTTCCTCTGTAAATGCTTGATAAGGAGTCTGGGTCATTTTGAATGTTCAACTGGCTTCCCTTGTAGTGTCATGGGCAATAATGTGGTCAGTTTCTCTTTGTGTCTTTTTTTTTTTTTTAATTGCGCTCTGGTTGGAGTACAACTGATCTTTAACCTTTCTTCTTCAGTGAGGTAAATTGCAAATGGAAAGTCTTTTGAAACGTGGCCAGAGTTCAGATTTTTCATCCACCAAGTGCACATGTTGTAATTACACTTGTTTTTCCTCTTTGCCCACAGCACCCGTTATATTTCTTTGGAGGAATAATTGGGGAAGGGGAGTGGTTCAGAACCAAAATAAGCCTGAAGTGATCACATTTTTTCAGATCCTTATAGTTGGCAGTTTTGTTTTCTTGCAATAAAATAGTGCTGTGTAGACTCTGTGCTTTTTTTTTTTTTTTTTTTGCTGTAATCAGGCTCCAAAAATATATTTAGTAACAGAGGATAAGACTCTGATGCAAATTGTGGATGATTTTAAAAAGATAAGGGAATGAGGGGATGAGCAGGTAATTGGTTTTTAAGTATGTGTGTAACTTTTGCTCGATACCACATTATCGGAAATGCATGAGAGCAACTTTGGGGCTCAGCTTATGTGCCTCTGAAAGCACTGGGTCTGGTGACATTCTCTTGCTCACTCAGTAGAAGTTCCTCAGAACACTTTTCTGAAGACTGTCATTCTACTCTTTTCTTATATTGTCTTCATCTTTACTGCCTTTGATTTATGTCTTCCTATCACTTCTTTGTATGCACTTTGCTTTTGTTAGCTGGGAAATCACAGTTTATCAAGACACTTTTTTTGCTGGTAGGTCACTGAGCTGCCAGAACACCCCTCACACCTCATGGCATAATGATACCTGTGCCTGGTGATGAACTTGTTCTTGGGTGATCGAATCTTGGGAGGTTCAGCGGTGTCTGCCTTTGGTAAGCCAAGGAATCTATAAGAAGTAAGCACTCTGTTAACAGCAGAAGTGTTGAACTGGATAATGTATTTGAAGATGGTGCTTTTAAACATCATGGCTTATTTTTTATTCTTATGACCAGAAAGGATTGGCATTGACCAGTCTAAAATGAGGGGTAGTAGTTAGCTTCAACTTTTAAAATTGGACCTCTGCCACTGTAACTTGGGCTCTTCTGTTATTGATCCTTCTAAGTCAATGAATGTGAAAGTTAAAATCCTGAACTGTAATTTAGGACGTTTGGTCAGTTTTGTCAGCTCTGCCCAGAGGGTTACACATCAGTAAAGCTTGTAAGTGGGAAGCTGATAGCTCTGAAAGTTGAGGTGAACAGGAAGGAGAGGTCTGAGCCTACCTTGGCGGTACTTGATGGCTGGTACGTAAAAAAAATCTCAGCATCCCCACCCCAGCTTAGCCCCAGGTACAGTGTATGAAGGAGGTCAGGCGTCTGTGCCAGGGAACTGTTGGGTGATGAGCTTTGCTTCAGGGAGGCATCTGTTGATAGTTTGGGTGCCAGATTGATTTTTATTGTTAGATAAAACAGCTGTTCGAATTGTTTCAGTATAAGTATTCATTGTAGAAAAATAAGAGAGTATAGATATGAAAACAAATACTGTAAAAAAAATGTAAGCTGCCTTTTTTTTTCATCAGAAATGGATATTGTAAATGTCTTCCCATGTCCATTGTTAACCTGTTATGTTAATTTGACCCCCTTTCCTCAGGAGAGACATACAGTGTCTTGGGGAGAGGTTAGGTAGCACAAAGAACCAAAGAAAGTAGTATGATTGTTACGTGTTTTTCTAGTTAGTCACCTTCTCTGGTGCTGAGTGACAGTTCTGGTTCTTTTAAACTGTCAGCTCTCTGCTCAGTTAACTTGAAATCATAAGCCCTGGTTTGGTAATTTATAGTGATTGGAAATGTTTAGTGTCTGTACCCAGAAGCTTGTAAGTAAAGGACCATTAAGTGATCCTAAGAGAAAGTTTTGATTTAATAGTAGTCTGTTCCACTGTGATAAGGGAGTTGAATAAAAACTTCAGGGTACTCTTGTGTCATTCCCTAAAAAACTCAGCTTTTAGAGTAATCAGTCTGCTGTTGTTCTGCCCATATTTGTGCAGTATTCCAAATACAGTTAGAATGTATTTTCTAGTAGGTTTTAGGTCAGTGTTTGACTTGAATGTATTAATAATAGTTATCAATTTCTTTTTTGTGGAGTTTTAGATTTTGAAGAGAATTTAAAGATAGTCTAGTTAATGTCAGTACTCTTCCTCTGTATACAGATGTGGAAGTGAGGCCTCGCGGGGTTAAATGTCCTCCCTGGGCCGCAGCAGTATTGCAGAACAGAGTTAAGAACTGGCTCCTAAGAGCCAGCAGTGCCATTGGCTAAGCCAGGTCCACAGGAGCTCAGGAAAGGTTTTATGAAGGCGGGGGAAGAAAAGGCAAGAAGAGAGACGAATTGAGAAGGGTAAAAAAAATATTCGGACTTAAAAGCTGATTTTCTTTCTTTTCATTTATCCCTTAGGGAAAAGAATCCAATAGATTGCCTAATTCTCATTTAAGCCTCTTTCTTTTGGTGGGGAGAGGTGAACCTGTGGTCCTGTATTCCCAGAGATATGACTGTGGGTACATAGCAAAATTAAAAAAAAATGATTACTAATATTTATTAGGTACTTCTGTGTCTCAGAAACTGGACTTACTCATTTCATCCTTTCAACTGTCTTATGCAGTGGATACCAAGTGCTATTACCTCCCCTTTTTGTGTTTAGATATGGAAAGTCAGACCCACAGAAGTTAAGTACTCAGGGTCACAGCAGGCAAAGGGTGGTGCCAGGATTTAAACGAGGGCAGCCTGACTCCCGGGCCGTTCTTTCATCCCTTATGTTTATGAACGCAGGCATATTATTAGTGAGACGTGCCTTTAGTCGTGGTTGGTGGTTGTGCACCGGAGTGCTTTCTCATTCCTGGTCTCGGTAGCAGTTTCTTTCTGGGCTTTGTTAGGTTATCCACCAGGTAACTGGGTGGATACGGGCCCCATGGAGACACAGGTAATTCATTCAACAGATATGTACGCAGTACCTTCTAGTACCAGGCCCTGTTATAGATTTGGGGGATACAGACAGATGAAATGATTGAGATTATTTTGTAGTGAAATACTAGTGTATTGATGACCACTAATTTTGATGACTTTGTTGGATTGATGACGAGGAGAGATTGGTTTATCTTAAAATAGCCCTACTTTCCCTGTCCTAGCAATTAAAATGAACCTTGAAAGCAAAATCTAGATACAGTACCTTTTTTTTAAAGACTATAACTTTTCTGTATTCCAAACTGATTTTTTAATGACAAAGTTTTTTTCCTTGAGATTATTGAAGTAATTGATAATGATTTAACAGGCCATTAAAGGACATTAAAAGTTCTTCCTAAAATGATCACTTTCTTAGCTGTGGCTTTAGCCTGATGATTTGTCCAAAGCTTCTGCTTTTTCTCTCCTGCATGTGCTTCCTGTGGAATCTGCCTGGGTCGCATCCAGCACCACACAGCAGATGGAGCATCAGAAGATGTCATGAGGCCATGTCAAGCAGCATTTCCTAATCAAACAGCTGCCATGGGGCAGCCGCCACGTTAGCGCCCGAGACTCT